TGCCTGTACCTGGCTTCTGTTCAGGTGATTGATTCCTCTGGTGAAAAGTGGATAATTTTCAGAATCTCATGTTGTGGCGCCATAATTATTGATTTAAAAACACACAGCTCTCCTCTTAAAAGGGATAAGAAATAGTTTATTCTGGAGCCATTTTGAGTGACCATGGCCTGGAAACACAAATTTAGGTTATTCCAAATTCCACGTCCCCTGAACTTTTTTTTTTTAAATGATGACCACATAGGTTTTTGTTTGTTTGTTTGTTTTTGTTTTTTGCTTGGCCTGTGCTTAAAAACCCTTTAAGTGGTCTCTGGATTTAAACAAAATGTTGTATTCCAAAGTTTGGGTTTGGCGTGAGACGCTGGAGTGGTGGGTTTATTTGTGTCTGTGTGTACTGCTTGTGACTTTGGACAGCTCTGACCATGTCCGGGGCTGGGATTCCAAACCTGTTAGTGTGAAGGTCAAAAGCACGCAATTGAACACTTGGGCAGTAGGGCAGGAGAATCAGGAGTTCCAAGTCATCCTAGGGTACAAAATGGACTTGAGGCAGCCTGAGCTATATAAGACCTTGTTTCAAAACACAAAAAAGTAACAAAATAAACAACAGCAAGAAAGCAACTCTCCGGAGCTCCCTAGTTCTAAGCCTCCTTGGCGCTTGGCTACGTTCTTAATGTCTGCAAGAAATACTTGGATGAGTAGCTTGCTTGCAGTTTGGTTAGCTCCACTATAGAACTGTAGAGTCCTGGAGATGGATGTGTGTGTGTGTAGGGGGGGGGGGGGGGGATCAGACCTGCCTCAGGAAGCTGATGGAGGAAGGAGCTGGGCTAAGCCTTCAATGCTTCGCTCCTGCAGTGATTACTTTAACTACCGTTCATCTCTCAACCCATGATTCTGAATATAGACAGTTCCTAACGAAAGGTGGTTTGACTTAACAGTTTTTGTGCTTTATGGTGACAACAAATATGTAAGGCTATAACTGTGACATTTGTCCCCTTTAGTGTATCGATGAACAACTATGGGAGACATTCATCCCTTCATTATAAAACAGGCTTTGTGCTAGCTGATTTTGCCTGACTATGGCCTATTGAATGTGCTCTGAGCACATTCAAGGCAGCAAAGCTAAGTACATGAGACGTATTAAATATGCGCTTACAGTATTTTCAGTTTGTCGTGGACTTACTGGGGCACGCCCTGCTCTGTACTGAGAAGCATCTCTAGTGTAAAATGGGACGGGGATTTATGATCCCCTCCTTCCCCTTCCCCTTCCCTCACCTCTACTCTCTCTTTCTTCATTCCAGTTCTAGGGATCGAACCTAAGGCCTCAGCTGTTAGACAAGCAGTCTACCCCTGAGCTACATCCTCAGCTCCATCTCTATTTTTTATTGAGACCACCCATCACTAATCTGCCCAGGTGTGCCTCTGTTGTCCAGGCAGGCCTTGAACTTACTGCCTAGTCTTTGGAGTAGCTGAGATTATAGGCATATTGTCATAATTAAGTGGTATAAAGTTAATTCATTTTTGGAAACTTTCTTTTTCCTCCCTTCCCTCTCTTCCTGTGCTGTAGTTAGAAGTTTCTCTGGTCCTGCCCGGCCCTACGGTTGGGATGGATCTCTCCCACCTGTGTCCCACAGTCACTTGGCCCCAAGTAAAAACACACAGAGGCTTATATTAATTGTCAACTGTATGGCCTATGGTCAGGCTTCTTGCTAGCTGGCTATTATAACTTAACTCAACCCATTTCTATTAATCTATATGTTGTCATGTGGTCGTGGCTTTACAGCTCTGTTGCATGCTGCTCCTTGGGCGGCAGGCTGGTGTCTCTCTTTCTCTCTCCCCTCTCCTTTCTTCTCTCTGTATAACTGCTTGGATTTCCTTCCTGCCTCTAAGCTGCCTTGCCATAGGCCAATGCAACTTTATTTAATCAACCAATGGGAACAACATATATTCACAGTGTACAGAAAGACATCCCCCAGCACTGTGCCTGCTCCCCACTCCTTTCTTCCTTCCTTCCTTCCTTCCTTCCTTCCTTCCTTCCTTCCTTCCTTCCTTCCTTCCTTCCTTCCTTCCTTCCTTCCTTCCTTCCTTCCTTCCTTCCTTCCTTCCTTCCTTCCTTCCTTCTTTCTTTCTTTCTTTCTTTCTTTCTTTCTTTCTTTCTTTCTTTCTTTCTTTCTTTCTTTCTTTCTTGATATAGGGTCTTGCTGCATAACCCAGGATGGCCCTGAGCTTTCCATGTAGTCCAGGATGACCTCAAACTCATAATCTTCAAGAGTGCTGGGATTACAGCATGCACCACCACACTCATACACTCTTGATTTTTCCACCCCACACTATTTAAATAACTTGAGATACTTAGGTCTTGCATGGGAATCAGAGTTTCTGAAAGTACCAACCAATTTGCTACTGAACCACACTGGATCATGACATACCACTATGTCATGCCCAAAACATAGAATATGGAGACTGGGGATATAACTCAGTAGAAGAATGCTTCCAATTTGCCTTCCTATTGCATTAAGGCACTAGCCATCCACTGTCCTCACTGGCCCATGAGTGGCCCACATAGAACATCTTAGAACATTAGTGGAGCCCTAAAAACAAGGCCCTTCTCCATGTATCACAGACCCCGGAGGCAGCTGAAAACTATCTGCCGTCAGTCTGAAGTGCACAATGGGTACCTGAATGCTAATCTTGGCTGTCTCCCTAGCGCTCTGGGATCTTGAGGGAAATGACTTATTTCTCTAATGTCCGCAGCCTTCTTTGTGAAATGAGGGTCCTCTACAGCTTGGAAATAGCAGGATTTTCTGCAGAGTCGTGAGCAGGGTCACACACTCTTCCTCCCTGATTTGTCCTTTATCACTTTAGTTACAGCTCTTAGTGAAAATTGGCAAGTGTCCCTGGAATGCCAGAGCTCCAGCTGCCTGGCACCACTAGGGATTAACATTTAAACCAGGCTCTATCCAGACAGCCAATGGTCTGCAAAGGCAGCAGACCACATATTCAGATGCCATCTCTGCCTGGAGGTTATAACGTGGGTGGGAGGAACACAGGCAGTCAGTCACTCTGGAGCTCAGTCTTGCCCTCAAGTCAGTGGTCAGCCACTCCTCTGATGATGTCTGAGCCTCTCTGGTTATCATTCCTTGCACTCATTCTGTGGACGTTTGGACCAAGGCACTTCATGAAATACTGGGTCTAGTTAGGGTGCCAGTATTGACCTTGTACTGCTCAGTGGGCATCTGGGCTGTGTGTATCAGTACTGGCTACCTCAGAACTGTGTTATCAGTAACATGCACATGCAGATTCCTTTCTGCGATATGGAGTTTAACTGGATCTTCTAAGACAGAATATGAATGATGCCCTTACCCTTTCTCCCTGCCCCTTTCAAGGGGGACAACAGAGTAACAGGAGGGTGGCATTCAGGCTTTCTAAGGCTCCATTCAGTTGTTTTTATACACATTCATTCTCTCTCTTTCCCTGTCTTTAGTGCTGGGAGCCAGCTCAAGGCTTCAGGCATGCTTGGTACACACTCTTCTACTGAGCTGCACTCCCATGCAGCCCCGGACATTAGTACATGCCTTCCACTTATGGGAAATAAGGCTTTGGAATCTTTTTTTTTTTTTTGGTTTTTCGAGACAGGGTTTCTCTGTGTAGCTTTGCGCCTTTCCTGGAACTCACTTGGTAGTCCAGGCTGGCCTCGAACTCACAGAGATCCGCCTGGCTCTGCCTCCCGAGTGCTGGGATTAAAGGCGTGCGCCACCACCGCCCGGCGGCTTTGGAATCTTAAGTAGTCACCCCAGCTATCTGGGCCCACACATCCCTGCCACTCAGTAGTTGCTTCTTCATTTATCTTCTCAGAAGACATGGAAGGGGGGGGCCTCTGAATCTCTCTGGGGTGCTGGGATCTTGCTTTTCACATGGTGCCTGACAGTCTTCCTGGGAGGTGCTGACCAAGACTCTCTGCCCGGCAGTGGGACTCCGGGCTTCTGGGGTACAGGAACACAGTTGAGAACTGAGCTTACAGGCCTTGCCACCACTTCCTCCTCCTCTTCCTCCTTCTCTTCTCTCAGTCTGACTTTGTGGTGGTGGAAAGCACGTGGCTGAGAGGCACTGTGCTGGCTTAGCTGAACGGGTGTCGGTTGTTCAGGGGCCTTTTCACTTCAGCACCTTCTGTATTATTATACAGAAAGGTGAGTAGTTTTCTTACTAACTGGACGGCCATGTTCAGGCTGAGAGAAAATAATAGATAAATAAAATTAAAATACTGTTGTTATTTGAGGCCATCCTGGTCTACAGAGTGAATTCCAGGACAGCCAGGGTGGTTACACAGAGAAACCCTGTCTCAAAAAAAAAAAAAAAAAAAAAAGGAGAGAAAGAAAGAAAGGAAGGAAAAAAGAAAGAAAGAAGAGATACTGTGGCCAACAACTAGTTAGTACCACCTTCCAACAAGCACAAAAGTGAATCAGGCTAATGGCCCCTGCCTTTTTATATTCAAATTCCTTTGGTGGTCTTCAGTGAGCATAAATTCCCCACATAATGTAGGCTGAACTGTTGAATGGAAGCATAATGTACAAGGGGCTCTTGGTTTAGCACAGAACGGGCCAAGATGGCGGCAGCTCAGCATGTATGTTACAGAGGATGTGATCTTCAAACTAAGGAAGTGATTTTTGGATCTCGCCTTGTTTTCTCTTTGTTATTATTCCCATCCTGTTATAGACCAGTAACCGAGTGTATGAAACTGTAGGCGTTGAAGCTGTGAAGGACTTTAAGACCAAGCCCCGTCCTTTATAGGACTTCTATTTGAACTAATTCCAGAAAAGTTAACTGAACGGAGCCGATGTGACATCAAATGAGCACGATAACTCTGCTTTAGGTTGTGAGCTTTCTGGAAGGATGGGCATTTTCTCAGAGCCTTCAAGGAAACTGTTGTCTTTGAGGCTGGGTTCCTGGAACCCCTGGAGAATGCTGATCAGCATGGGTTCTGTTGACTTCCTTTCGTCCTGCTCCAGAATTGAACTCCGGGCCCTGGGCAAGATCTCAGAAGGTGAGGAGCTGACCGTGTCCTACATCGACTTCCTCCACCTCAGCGAGGAGCGCAGGCAGCAGCTGAGGAAGCAGTACTACTTTGACTGCTCCTGTGATCACTGTCAGAAGGGGCTGAAGGATGACCTCTTCCAGGCAGTGAAGGAAGACCCCAAGGTACACACAACTCTGCTTCAGGGGCCGAGGCTGCCTTCCCAGGAGCTGGGCAAGGGTGGGGCTTATATCCTTGAGGAGAAGGCATGGGATGGAGCACAGAGCAGGGCGGGCAGGTCCCAGCTGATGCATGGTGGGGGGAGTTTGAAGAAGCCAGTCTTCTCTGGGAAAGGAGACCAATGGCCTGACTGTACTGTTATTATGAACACTGGACAAGATGGCCTGTATAAAAGGGCTGGCACCCAGGCACCCAGCAGGGTTCAACTCCCCACCCTACCCTTGTGCAGGTTAAATAATGTGGAGAACTTCAGAGATCAAAGTTCAGTAGGCACAAAGATTTGAATATGGTTTTCCTATTCTGTAGAGATGGGTACTATGGAGATGGGGCGCGCTTGCCAAGGGGGATGCCAGGAGCTCAGCTGAGCTGAGAGAGAGCTGAGATGCCAGATGCCAGGGTGTCCAGTTAAAGCCACATGCCAAAAATGAAACTGAAATATTTAGACACTTACAAACAGTATAAACAAGAAGCAGAAACCAGAGAGGGTGCCAGTCCGTGCTCATCCAGTTCCTCCCTTGGAGCACACAGGGGTGGAGGGTGAGTCAGCACAGGCGTGGGGGGACTGTTCTCACTGTTGAGAGAACTCTGTCAGAAGGCGCAGGCAGTTTCTAGATCTGTGATTAGAGCAACGAGGGGGAAGCTCCGGGAACAAAATGCTTGGCCACCAAGTCAGAGTGGGAAAAAGCATCTGCAAGGCTTCCTCTTCTCCCAGTAAGGAGGTCTCAATAGAAGTACGCAAGAAGTTGATGGGATGCTTCTGTATAACTGGTACTCGGATGGCATCTGTGGGATACACATACATGAACTTCTAAACTTCCCTCTGAGTGCTGTGTGTAGGAGGAATGTGCTCCCGGTCAGAGCAGAGGTGCTGGCGAATTCTAGGGTGCTCGCCACATGACCTGTCTCATGGCTCCATTACCTAGTGGGGTATGTGCTCATTAATGTTTATAAAACACCCCCACCCACCTCCTACCCACCCCCGAGCATCTCTCCCTTTCATCCCTGGGTTGCTCTACCCAATTTTCTGGCCAATAACTTACTTGTAGTCTTACTATATCATATAAACATTTTCACCAAGAAGTTCCACTTCCAAGTATCTACTCAGAAGAGATACCTACACATTTGCTATAAGATACATGGTAAAAATAGACTGTGGTGGTGCTTTTAGGAACCATAAAACACTGGGGGGGGGACCCCTCAAATCAATACACATATGAAATATATGAACAGAAGAAATGCCCTAAACCATTCAAATGCATGAAGCGGTGTCTAGATGCAGGTCTGCAGTGAGATCTGTTCCTCAGGGGAAATGAGTTAAGGGGCCCAAGGATGTCATGTACATACGTTAGATTGCTAGAGTTGCTATGTCCGATGCCCCAAACTGAGTAGTGTAAACCTCAGTGTAACCTGTCCTGAGAGCCAGAGGCCCACAATTCAGCGGTTGACAGGCTATGCGGGAAGGGTCTATTCTAGATGTTTCTCCTGCGCTCCTAGGAAGCTCTCTCCTGGTGTCTCTTTACAGCTTCCCTTTCGCTGTCAGTCTTCTTTTTATAAGGTCACCAGTTGTGTTGGGTTAGGGATCCACCCCACTTCATTCCACATGACCTCATCTTAAAGGAATTGTATCCACAAGGATGCTACTCCCAAGTAAGGCTGCATTCTGGGGTCTTGGGGCTTAGGACTTCAATGCAGGAATTTTGAGAGGATGATGGCATTCAATTCATAACATGTTTACCATGCTATGAAAATTAAAAGGAACAGGCATGCACATGTTGGCATGCAAGCAAAGTCAGTACCCATGAAGAAAGAAATAGAAGGAAGCTGTGACCTTATAGTGAAGATCAATGAAACATGAGGTAGAGAAATTGAGTCAGTCCTCCCATGCAGGAGATAGAGTAGCTGGGGCCAAGGATTATGGGTTTTTTTGTTTGTGTTTTGTTTTTGTTTTTTTACAGAAACAATCTCCTTTTCACAGAATCAAAGGTGTTGTATTCTGGGACTTACATACTGTTAGTATTTGTGCACAATGCTTTGGACAATACAGAGACTAAGGGACCACACCCACCTTCATCCTGCCCTTTTAGCACCAGAGGACATCATGTGCTAGCCGTGAGCCCCAGACACTGGCCCTGAGCATGTGTTTCCTAACTCAACCATTCTGCCACTCAGTTGTGTGTTTTTATAAGTAGACAATATCCTCTTTTCCTCCTTTCAAAATTATACAACACAGAGTAGTTTAGGTCTTCATATATATTTTTGGTGGGTTTCCACAGTTCAGAAGGTGATGGGTGGTCTCAGGTCCTACCCTGTCACAATAGATAGGTGCCTAGCAGTGATAACATGCTGATGTCTCTCAGGTTGACATGTCTCTGATAAAAGATTGATGATTTCTGCTTGAACTTAACTAGATTCAAAGCAAAATCTTTCTAATATTTCTTAAACACCATATTGGATTTTCTATTTAAAAAAAAATTTAAATTGAAGCCAGGTGGTGGTGGCACATACCTTTAATCCCAGCACTTGGGAGGCAGAAGCAGGCAGATCTCTGTGTTCGAGGCTAGACTGGTCTACAGAGCGAGTTCCAGGACAGCCAGTGCTACACAGAGAAACCCTATCTGGAAAAAGCCAAAAAAAAAAAATTAAATTGCATTTATTGGCTGGGTGTGATAGGACATGCCTTAAGCAGGTGGGTCTCTGTGAGTTTGAAGCCAGCTTGGTCTACATAGTGAGTTCCAGGACAGACAGAACTACATAATAGAGAGACCCTGTCTCAAAAACAACCCCCCCCAAACAAACAAAAACTACATTTATTTATGTGTGTATGTATGAATGTATGTATGTATGTATGTATGTATGTATGTGTGTGTATGTAAGTGTGTGTGTGTGTGTGTGTGTGTGTGTGTGTGTGTGTGTATGCATGTATGTGTGTGTGTGCATGTGGAGATCAGAGGACAATGTGCAGGAGTCGGCTCTCCTTTTCTACCATGTGGGTCCCTGGGATTAAATTCAGGTCACCAGGTTTGGTGGCCAGTGTCTTTACCCATTGAGTCATCTTGCTGGTCTTAAATTGGGTTCTTCATTAAAATAAACAAATGAACTCAAAATAAAAGTAACTCAACCTGGGCGTGGAGAGACGGCTCAGCAGTTAAGAGCACTGGCTGCTCTTCCAGAAGACCCGAGTTCAATTTCCAGCAACCACACGGTGGTTCATAACTGTCTGTAATGGAATCCAATGCCATCTTTGGTGTGCAGATATATATGTAGATGAAACTCTCATATACATAAAATACATATCTATCTTTTAAAAAATTAACTCAACCTAAATATTTGGACAGGAAAGATTAAGTACACCTTTACAGTTTTTTAATGAATTAATTTGAGGTAAATTCTTGCTGTGTGGCTTGAGCTGTCTTGAACTCATTATTTAGCTCAGACTGGCTTCTAATTCATCATCCTCCATCTCAGCCTTCCCAGTGTTGGGCTGCAGGTGTGTGACACGCTCGGCTATCGTATCTTTTTTAAAAAGTCATTACAATGTAGTAAGAATGTAAAAACAAATAAAACAACAACAACAACAACAACAACAGCAGAGAAAGAGTGGGGAAATCTGTTTTCTAGTTCCAGTTATAGTCCCGAATGTCTGAGCCGGGGCAGATCTCTTCCTTTGGGACCTCTGTTTCCTTGTCTGTAAAATGGAAAGCTGGGAGAATTTAGCAGTGTTCTTCTCAGCTTGAACTATATACTGTGTCGTCACAATTGTCTTGTTCTGTTTTCTATGAGACAGTGTCTCATGAAACCCAGGCTGGCCTGCACTTGCTGTGTAGCCAAGGAGGACCTTGAACTCCTGGTTCTCCTACCTCAGCCTCCCAAGGGCTGTAACTGCAGGACTGAGCCACCATGCCAAGCTTGGCTGCTTCCTTTCTCTTCCTTTTAACACTTTACAGCAGCCCTGTAAGTGGTCCCGTGGTCAGCACACCAGCATGACTGTTAGTCAGTACCAGAAGTTATACTACCCCCTTCCTGTGTGCACAAAAACCCTTAGGAAACGCAAACCGAAAGTTTTAAATGAGAAAATAAAAACAAAATATAAAACACCGTCCTCAGTTGCACCTCTGGACTGTCTGTTTAGGCCGATCAGGTTTTTCTTTTTCTCTATCCTGCAAGGCTACTTTTCCAAGATCAAGAACAAGCATCCCTCATAACTCTGTCCTCTTCTTCTCTGCCTCCTGCTGCAGCTGCTTCTCCCCTTCTCTTCTAACCTCGCCCCTTATCCAGCCCCTCCCACTTCCCTGGCTCCTCCTCCTGTAGATGTAACAGTTTTATTAAATAAGAAACACAGAGCCAAATGAAGAATTAAAAGCCCAAGAGGTCAGAGCAGTAGCTAAGAGCTAATACTAAAAACAGTTTCTTACCCTTCACTGCCACTGCTGACCTACTCCTCAGAAAGAGACCTACTTCCTGTGTATCTGTCTTTTTATTGACTTTCTGTTCTGCCTCGTCACTGCCTGTCTATACAGACCTCTTGGGCTTTTAACTCTGCATTTGGCTCTGTGTTTCTTATTTAATAAAACTGCTACAGCTACATCTGGCGCCTAAACATTCATGGTACAAATTCATGTAAAAAACTGCTTGCCTGTGGCCTTGTGGGCCCCAGCTCAGACCCAAACTACCCTAAGCAGGGTGGTGGTGGCACACGCCTTTAATCCTATCATTTGGGAGGCAGAGATCCATCCGGATCTCTGTGAGTTTAAAGCCACACTGGAAACAGCCAGGCATAGTGACTCATGCCTTTAATCCCAGGAAGCCTTTAATCCCAGGAAGTGAGCCTTTAATCCCAGAAAGTGATAGCAGGAAGCAGAAAGGTATATAAGGCATGAGGACCAGGAACTAGAGCTGGTTAAGCTTTTAGGATTTTGAGCAGCAGCTCAGCTGAGATCTATTTGGATGAGGACTCAGAGGTTTCCAGTCTGAGGAAACAGGATCAGCTGAGGAATTGGTGAGGTGAGGTGGCTGTGGCTTGTTCTGCTTCTCTGATCTTCCAGCATTCACCCCAATACCTGGCTCCGGGTTTGTTTTATTAACAAGACCTTCTAACAATTCATGCTACATCCTCCTGCTGCTTCTTCTAGCTCCTGGGGCTTCTCTTCTAACTCTCCCTTTTCTCTTCTTGCTTCTCCATCTCCTTCTTTGGACTTTGAGACATTTGGCACTCCCTCCCACATCAAAACAAACAAACAAACAAACAAAAAACCAAAAAACAAAAAACTAATTGTATCCTCATGGGAACTGTTTTTGTAACTGTGGTACTTCCTTATCTCATATACCAAAACCAAGTTTGAAAGGCTTTAGCCAGATCACTAGACTGCTTAGTCTGTCTAATGTGGGAAGACAGACGAGTCCGGCTTTCAGAGAGCTGACAAAAATCTCTCATGTTAAGCCGGGCGGTGGTGGCGCACGCCTTTAATCCCAGCACTCGGGAGGCAGAGGCAGGCGGATCTCTGTGAGTTCGAGGCCAGCCTGGGCTACCAAGTGAGTTCCAGGAGAGGCTCAAAGCTACACAGGGAAACCCTGTCTCGAAAAACCAAAAAAAAAAAAAAAAATCTCTCATGTTATCCTTTTGATTAAGGAATGACTAATGGCTGCATGCTAAGACAATTGGAGGGTCTGCATGACCATAATCAGAAGAGCCCTCTTAGTAAGCTCCAGTGGCCACTGGAATGTGATTTTTGGATCAGGCCCTCAGCTTTACTCCTGCCCTGGCTAGTAATTATTTAGTAATTTTATTTTATTGGTTTCTTGAGAAGGGGTCCCCTGTAGCCCAGACTGCCCTTAGACTCCAGATGCTGCTGCCCCTCACCTCCTAGGTGCAGGGGCTATAGACTCACACTATTGTGGCTTGCTCCACTTCTGTGTGTTTAAATCAGTGACTCAGATGAAGACAGAAATACAAGGCCTAGCTGTAGACTAGGTGGTTGACTTGAAGCAAAGAATTTTAGACAACAGGATCCCAGTCCAAAATTCCAGAGGAAACACACACAGAGTCACTGTCAAGTGTGCAAAAGCCCAGCAGTGAGGCAGACTTCCGAGGACTGGGTGGTGGCAAGGTTCTGAGCCTTCTTCACCAAAGTGTGAAGAGGGAGCTGGAGATGGCTCAGTGGGTAAGAGTGCTTGCTGCTCTTCCAGAGGACCCGAGCTTCATTCCTAGCACCCATGTTGGGCAGCTCACAACTCCCTGGAATCCAATGCCCTCTTCTGACCTCTGGAGGCATATGCACACACTTGGCATACACTCACATAGACATATATACACACACTTAAATGAAAAGAAAAAAACAGGCCTAGCTCAGGTTTCATAAGCCTATTTAACAATCCATATTGAAAATGCACTCGTGTGTGTGTGTGTGTGTGTGTGTGTGTGTGTGTGGTGTGTGTAGTTTAACTAGAGTTACCCAATTTTGAGTGATAATGCTCCCCCCCCCAAAAAAAAACCTGTAGACTGTCTAACAAAAACTCCAGTGCCACATATATGAAACCTCCCTTTGAGATGTTAGTCAGGAATGTCCAACAGACTCCAAAAACAGTGCAGGCCACTGCCGTTGCCCTGGTTGTCTCCCAGCACTTGAAGGTAAGACCCTCTTACAGAAGTCAGTACAGACTTCAGACACAGGACTTGGAGAGATTGAGCTGGACCAGCGCTTGTCATATTGGAAGATGCTATGTGGTCTTCCAAAGGAGAAAAACAATCGGTAGTTCTGCTCACACGGGAAGCCTACAAACAACAACGACTGGCCAGCAAGATATCCTCGGTGACGCAATAGTGCCAACTTTGTCTCGGTGGTAAACAACAGATGTCTAATTGGACTTAAAGCCGGATCACTCGGAAAGAATTCATGTCTGACACTGTAAATGTAGCCAACCACTCATGGCCAGAGAGATCATGGACCCCAGAGGAGAACCTACTACTTTCCTAAACCAGTATAATTTCTAACTGTACTCTAAATATTGATCCTTATATTCAAATGAGTGTAGTTCTCATTCCTCATCAAAGAAACTTCTTTTTGTGCCGAGAGAGTCTATGACAGTCAACTGGTCAAAATGCAGAGCATACGTGACTGTGGGGTGACCAATCCCAACTGATATACCTGCAATGCCGTCCCTACACCCAAGGCTCAGGGCAAATTGCAGAAAGGGGAGCAGAAAGATTGTAAGAGCCAGAGAACCAGGATGCCTGCTGTGAGATAGTGTCTTCTAGATATGACAGGAAAGCTGCACCCATTAAATCTCAACCATGTGGTTGCCTAAGCAAGACCTGCATAAAGACAAAGGTCAATATACCAGCGTGGACAGGGAAACTCGTATAAGGCCTTGTCCCTAGATGAAGAGCTACAGGCAGTCAATGGCTGCTGGGAGAGGGAGAATCAGTTTTCCCCAGGGATGAGCTTCCTGGTAAGTTATTAAAGCCAAGTGGTCATCCCCAAACACTTGTGAGCAACACCGAGAGGGAGTGAGGAAGGATGGGAGGGATCGAAGTAGGGAGAAGGTGGGAGTGACGCGAATACAGTGCGCATGTGTGAAATCCTCCAAAACCAACAAGCTTAATTAAGAAGTCGAGAAGAAGAAGCACGAAACAGCAGTTGGAAAAGCCGCAGGGGTCTTTACCTACTTGGAGAAATGAGACAATCATAATGTGCGAGGCTCTGATCCTACATTACAGTGAACGTCAAAGATGGCAGACACTGGAGGATAGTTTGCTTTTGTTTCTTTTTTGGTAGTAGTGGGATTGAGTCTCGGGTTTTATGCATGCAAGGCAAGTGCTCTACCGTGAAACTACATTCCCAGCCTTCAGGAACTCCCAGATAAGATGGGCTGCCCCGTGAGGTGATCTCAAACTGGATACTCCTCTCTTTCCTAGCCCTCCCCAGAAGTGGTGAAGGAGACGGTACAACTCTCAAAGGATACACTGGAAAAAATAGACAAGGCTCGCTCTGAGGGTTTGTATCATGAGGTGAGAGCACTTTTAACAGAGGCTAGTGATGGGGAAGAGGGTGGAAAGTCGGAGAGGTATGTGAACAGAAAGGGGAGACTGCTGAACAGGTTGCGTTTCCTGGAAGGCCGTTTCTCTCATACCCTTCAATTGTAGTACCCATTAAAAGTGTATTCTCAGTGACTGCTCAACCCAATGAAATCTGTTCAAGGAGAGCAAACGTTGCTGGATCCATGTATTAGGAGCTGGAGGAGGGCCTGTGACAGCTCAGGTACCATCAGAAATGGAAGAGTGACAATGGCCTTGGAGGACACCGAGAGTGGCCTGCTAAGCATTCAACTTTGGCTCCTGAAGCCCCCTAGATTCTCGTGTCTCTATACTGTAATCGAGTGTGTAAACACCTCGTGCCTCTCCTTCAACCAGGACAGTGTCTCTAAAATCTCTGCTCGAGGGATCTAGGCATCAAGGCTTCATAGCTTCCATAGGCTTTCAATGTACAGTCAAGTGGTCTGTGGTGATAATGCTGCGTTAGTTTTTGGAGACAAGGTCTTGGTATGTAATGCAGACTGGCCTTGAATTCTCTATCTGCCTGCGTATGGGGATCACAGGCATACACCACCATACCTGAGAAGTTGCTTTGAATTCATCTCAACAGCTTGTTGGAAGTCAATTCTTGTGTCTCGCCCTCTAAGCTGGGATCTGTAACGAATATCTAAATTATTCCAGTATAATAAAAACTCGGGAGTCAGAAATTAAGGCAGAGACTTAACAAATCCAAGGACAGCTGACCCTCACTCCACTTTTTTCCCAAAGCACCTCTCCCAGAAATCCTCCCTTCTCTCTTTCTGTCCTTTCTAGCAGACCTCCTCAGGCCTCCAAAATCTCTATGGCTAATCCCGGTCAGCCAATCACTGACTTGGTCCTTTGATCAAGGTGGCTTTATTGGGACAATGGAATAGCTGTATGAACAATTCTCCCGCAACAGGAACCTACTCATTCTGAAATAGAACAGAGGCACCATGAATCAGTGGCTCCCTGCCCCCCAAGCTCATTATGCAGCTTGGATGAGCCACGGGTGACTGTTACTAGGGTGTGCTAATTTGGTGGTTAATTTCACTTCGTGTCTCTTTCATTTCATTCCTTTTCTCCTTCTCCTTTACTGATTCATCCATTGCACATGTATGAACCCTTACTAGGGTGACCAATGCAAGACACTCTCTTTATCTCCTCCCTGAGTTCTGTCAGGCGAGAGGAAGCCATGAAAATGAAGTGTTATGCATGGTAAGGAATCTGTGGCAAAGGCATGTGTCAGGAACCACATGGGTGGGGCTCCATGGGCCCCATTCCTTTGGCTTCTCTTCTCTTCAGTTCTACCTCCCAACAACAACACAGGCTGATGACTAACCCTTGAACACATAGGCCTTAGGGGTGGGCACGTACCCAAACCATATCAATGTATTTACATTGTGTATATCTATACATATGCATGCATACGTGTACATATATACACACAAGTTTAGTGTATGTGTAGACAGGCACACATATATGCGTGTGTAGTTTCCATACCCCTCTGCTGCATAGTGACTTCGAGTAGGCAAACTTCCTCACTTTGTTGTATCGTCTTTTTGGCCCAACCCTACCGTTTCCCACACCAGTGTCTTAGCCAGGAAGGTCATTTTGTTAGTTCAAACCACAAACCTTGTTTTTTCCCTTCTTTCTCCAGCTTTCAAAAGTGAGTCTAGTGCTATCTTGCCGTCCACCTGTCAGTTAAACACATACTCTGGTATAGTGGTGATGAAGCTGTGTCTCCCTCCAGGTTGTGAAGCTGTGCCGGGAGTGCCTGGAGAAGCAGGAACCAGTGTTTGCCGACACCAACCTCTATGTGCTTCGGCTGCTGAGCATCGCGTCAGAGGTCCTCTCCTATCTCCAGGCCTTTGAGGAGGCCTCGCACTACGCCAGAAGGATGGTGGACGGCTACACGTAGGTGATGGTCCTCGGTCTCAGGTGGTCTCCTGGAAACCCTCTGTTCCAGGGATGCCAAAGAGATGGCACACATTTGATTGCCCCTCCTACACCTCAGTGGCCATGGTCACAGTCGTACTTCTCCTTACAAATTAAGCTTTTCTTGTGGTGTCCCAGCAGTAATGATTGAACAGTCAGAGGTGATACTCAGATGAGGCCTGGTTGTCATCTCTGATGTGTTTGTTTGTTTTTACTTCCTTATTTGTCATTTGAGCGGCATCTTCTGCTTTGGATTTTCCTAAATGAAGCTTGATTTTAAATGCTTGGAGAGTTTTTTATCCTCTCTCTAATAACCTATGACCACACCTATAACACTTTGGCCTTGGGGGTGGGTACTTACCCAAACTGTAGCAATATATTTGCATTGTGTAGATCTTTACAGATATACACATGTGTGTACATATAGATACATAAGTATGTGTGCATATGTATACATATACATGCACATATTTTTCACAGCTCTGCTATAAAGAGAGAGAGGCCATTCTTGTTTATAAATGATAACATGCTGCTTTCTCATTTCCCCTCCACCAATGTTCTCTCTTGCCTTCTACGTTCACATGAGCTTAGGAATTTGTGTTTCTGATCAGATGAGTAAGTTGTCATAAGAAGACTTTTCTTTAGGACGCTGCTCATTAAAAAATGCAAGTAAATGGACCAGCATGCTAGGAAGGAGACCTGCCAGGAGAAGAAAAATACAGTGCAGCCCCAGGAAGGACACTGAAGTTAGACTTCCCGCCTTGAGCTTCTTTTCATGTTCCCCAGAAAACTGGGGGTGCTCCAGATGGTACCTGGCTCCCTGTGCTCAGGCTCCGAGTACAGTTGTGGCCCTCTTTGTCCATGAAGCCTTGGCTTGGTGGTCCAGGTCAGAGTCCCAACTCTCCTGGCCTCACTGTGTAGAACACTGGTCAGCTCTGTGGATTTCAGAACCCCACAACAAGCCGCTGGTGCCCCACAGCACGAGTGGGAAGACAGGCGGACTTGATCAGTGTGAGTACTGGCTTTGGCGTCATTTCCATTTGCTGTGACAGAATACCCTGACAAGTCAGCTTGGAAGAGGAAGGGTTTATTTGAGCTCACAGTCCACCATTGCAGGGACACTGAGGTCACATCGCACCCATGCTCAAGAGCAGAGAGCAATGGACGAATGCCTGCAAGCTTGCTCTTACAAAGTTTAAGGTCTCCTGTTCAGGGAATGGTGCTAACCACAGGTCCTCACAATGGTTGCTCACAAACATACCCATCGCCAACCTAACCTAGAAGATTCCTCATTGAGACTCTTTTCCCAAGTGATGCTAGATTACGTCAAGTTGACAACGACATCGGGCAGAGTACTTTAGGAGTTGTTCTGTGCTGTACAGATGTAAAGAAGGTTGGGACGATGAGTCCTGTTTACTTCCTGTGCCTCTGCAGGAAACTCTACCACCATAACAATGCCCAGCTGGGCATGGCTGTGATGCGGGCAGGGCTGACCAACTGGCATGCTGGTAACATCGAAGTGGGGCACGGGATGATCTGCAAAGCCTACGCAATTCTCCTGGTGACACACGGACCCTCCCACCCTATCACCAAGGACTTAGAGGTAAACAGCATCCCGGGGGTGGGCAGTCACTGTCTTATTTGAAGGTCTCTTGAGATGGGAGTCCTGGCTCATCTGGACTTTGCTTTATGGAAGTCTGTAGCCTGCTAGCCAGACCAGAAAGGAACTTGGAATGCTTTAGCCTTACACGTCTTCCTCATGTTACATATGAGGAAACAGAGGCCCAAGGGAGGGGAGCACTCATCTGCTGTTATCCAGTGGTTTGACGGTAAGGTCAGAGATGGCTGATTTTGTATCTACTATATTAAGCTTGTCAAAGGCAGTCTCTGTCAATCTTACCTACTGTGGTGTCCTGAGCCTCTGAACAGCTAGCTAGCTCTTCTGAATACTCTGAGTAGATATGTGGGAGAACAAAGACTTTGTTGTGTGTTATTCGCTATAATCTTCCCAACATGCTGTGGTTAAGTCCATTCACTGAGGTCCTACAAGCACAAAGGTCAGGATCCAGGGCTCAGATCCAGGTCCTCAGTCAACAGTGAGAAGAAGCATTCTCTGGGGAAAACAACTTTGCAGCTACCATCTCACGGGTCCATCTCCCTCTCCCTATGATGCTAGGCATGCTGCTACACCATCAGTCTACAATGGTGCCCCCCCCCCCTTACACACACACTTGTTTCTGGAGGGATAGAGTTAAATCTTACTGACCAGGGGTCATTTATCCAAAGATATGTTAGGACCGTGCCATGGGGATGTGTCACTCAATGCTGTTATCTGTGTCCCACAGGCCATGAGGGTGCAGACAGAGATGGAGCTGCGTATGTTCCGCCAGAATGAATTCATGTACCACAAGATGCGGGAGGCTGCCCTGAACAACCAGCCCATGCAGGTCATGGCTGAGCCCAGCAATGAACCAGCCCCGGCTCTGTTCCATAAGAAGCAATGAAGACCTCATTGGAGAGTTGGGGGCAGTGTGGTTGGGGAGCTGGGGAGATCATTACCCTGGGTCCCCCACTGTCATTTTGGTTCAGTTCAACTTGGCTTAGCTCTCTCTCACCCCAGACCAACTCTTTCTGTATGTGTCAGGTGCTAGGCTCCATCATCTATTTAATAAAGAAGCCCAACTATAATTGGGCTAGAAGGACAAATGTCGACAAAAAAGGCACAGCATAATAGTAAATGTAATGAGTACGTTTACTATTTATATTTAATAGCAAGCGAACTCTATGGAGAGGGGTCCAGAGGAGGTGAGTGTGTGTGTATGCCTCTGTGTGTGTGTGTGTGTGTGTGTGTGTGTGTGGTGTGTGTGGTGACACCTGGGCTAAGGGTGGCAGGTACCTCGAATCTCAGATGACTGCTTGTCTATCTGTGCAGTGTCTCTGGGGCAGCTGGTCTCACCTATGGCTGGGAATATTTAGGGTTTGGCAGACTGGGATGGAGATGATGTCCTGTATCCTCAGGCTGGTGTGGAGTTATTAACAAAGGACTGGGGCTGTGTTTGGCCCTTTGAGATCCACTCAGAGACAGGAAACCCATTAGGGACGGTATCTAGAAAGAGGCAGGGGCCTTGTTCAGACTACCTGTGGTCTCAATTCCTAGTCTGAGCTTGAAGCATACTTTTAGAAATAACTCTAGAACACATAGAGAAGGAATTTTTCCCTGTCTGGTCCTACTCACCAAGCCTGTAGCCCCTTGTGGTGTGTGTGTGTGTGTGTGTGTGTGTGTGTGTGTGTGTGTGTGTGTGTGTCTCCTTGAAGAAAAGCTGAGGTTTTTCTGCCGTTGACTAGTGGGAGTGAGAAGGCTTTTCAGGGTGAAGCTGAGGGTGTGCATGTCTGCTGGTGAGCCCAGCAGAAGTGGATTGTAAGGGTTTCGAGCCCGGGTAGTCTGCACCAGCTTAGGCTTCATCGTTGGCCCCAGGGAGGCTCTGCTCTCTGCAGTGAGTGACAGTTAACTTCCTGCACTTAGTTTCTTTATCCTGTCCATGCTCTGGGGGCTTCTGCCCTTCCTAACAGAAGGCCATTCACCTAGGCTAGGATCTCTTCAGAAGCGTGCCCACTTTGTTCTCACTTGCCGAGAGGCCCATTTCCATCTGAGACATGAAGGCCCAAGGACGACCTTTTAGTTTCTGGGACCCCAACTTTCTCACCAACATGGTGGGGGATCATGAAGTGAATTCGTTTAGTTGAGGGTGTCACCAAAACTGCTGCACAACCTTGGGCTACCGTTGACGCCAGAGCTCTGACATCGTGAAGTCACAGGATACCCACTAAAACACAAATTTATTTATTTCTGCCTAAAAGGTTAGTTCCTCTGTCCCCACCCTTTCTTTTTTTTTTTTTCTTCAAGACAGGGTTTCTCTGTGTAGCTTTGCGCCTTTCCTGGATCTCACTCTGTAGCCCAGGCTGGCCTCAAACTCACAGAGATCCGCCTGCCTCTGCCTCCCGAGTGCTGGGATTAAAGGCGTGCGCCACCACCACCGCCCGTCCCGTCCCCACCCTTTCATCTGAGAATGATCCCCTGCTTCTTCCCCTTGAGCTACGCCCAGCAGCTGAGGCCTCTGAAATGGCACCTCCTGAAGAAGGTTAGTACCGAACCCTTCGTTCTTCTTTGAAGATTCGTTCTCTAGAAGCTTCTCTGAAAGGTTGACAGTTACCTCAAGCTCTACCCCTCAGGCTTAGGGACAGCATCGACCTCCTTGGGATTCCTACAGGGGCGTTCACATCATCGCTCCTCGTCCCCCGTGCGGACCCTGCCCCAAGTCCCCTTCCGTTCTCCGTCACTGTTGTGTATCACCCATTTTCATTGTTTCTTCTCATCGCCCTAGTATCTGTTTTCTTCAGAGTTAGTCACAGTGTTTGTGCTCTTCCGTCGCTCTGCGATCCTTAGACCAGGGTTCGCCCTCCCTCACTAGCTATCCCTGCCCCTGCTCTGGATCCCTTGCCTTCCTGGGCCCTCCAGAGCATCTTCTCTGTCCTGAGCCCTTGCCATTCTCCCACCACGGGGCGTCTTTTCTTTTTCTTTCTTTTCTCCCCCCACCATTTATTTTTTTGAGACAAGATCTTTCTACTTAGCCCTGGCTGTGCTGGAACTCACTATGTAGGCCAGGCTGTCCTCAAACCCACCGATATCTGCCTGCCTCTGTCTCTTGAGTACTGCGATTACTGCGCCAGCACGCCCAGCACCACCCGGCTTTTTTAATGACGCCATTAAAGATGCTGAGGACCCTTGGATCACCCTCTTCATGGCTGGGGTTTCTCTGCAGTTTTTTTCCTGTTTCTTCTCTCTTTCCATTTCTTCTCAAACCCACTGCGCACTGGTTCTACCATTGCCCCTCTCTTAAAATGTCTCTTTTCTAGTTCTTTACATTATCCAGCCTCTCTGTTAGCAGCACACCCCAAACTTGGTTTCTCTGACCCCATTCCTTTGCGATGAGCCTCTGATGTGGTTTCTCTCACCTTCCCTGGTCTTGTTTCTCACCTGCCCCTGATAGGCCCCTGAGTTGATTTTGTCCTTAGGTGACACTTTATGTAATGACCTCATTGAGGTTTCTGGTTCTCAGGTCTGTTATCTGATCTTACAAATTGAGTTCCAGCCCCTCACATCCTCTTGGGTGCTTTGCAGGCACCTCAAAGCCCGCATGCTCCAAATGAGACTCCCCTAACACCTCTCTTAACACCTCGTCATTCTCAGAACACCACCCAGGAATACCACCTCCTCCATCATGTTGTGGGTTCCTGAAGGCAGGGCCACATCCCTTTGTTCATCTTTCCGTCTCTTAGCACAGGTCCTGGAACATGATGGTGCTCACTAAGTGTATATTGAGTGAATAAATGAATGAAATATTCATCTCAAAGTTAAAGAGTCACACAACTGGGTATTTCGAGTATTTCTGTTATAGCAGTCAGCAAAGCCCATTAAGTCCCCTGTGTTTGTGGGACATGGCTTCTTTCCTTCTGACGGCTTTTCCAGAGGAGCATGGTCTCATGGACTTTCCAGGGATGATGGATAGGACTTCATCTGTGATGTCCAATTTAGTAGTCACAGCTTGTGACTGTTGAACACTGGAACAATGTTAAGGACATGAAAATTTAATTTTATTTAATTTCAATTATTTTTTTCAAGACAGGGTTTCTCTGTGTAACAGTCCTGGCTGTCCTGGAACTCACTTTGTAGACCTGGCTGTTCTTGAACTCACAGAGATCCACATGCCTCTGCTTCCCAAGTGCTGGGATTAAAGGCATGTACCACCATAGCCAGGTCAATTAATTTATGTTTAACTAGGGAAGGTGGCCAGTGACTATTGCATTAAACTGTAATTTTAGAGAAATGCCTTAGTGTTTCTCTAAAACACCAAGAGCACGGATGCTGATAAAAACCACTTCAGTTTGTCTTCTTCACAGCTATCTTGATACCAGAATGGTTACTTCAACCCTGCCTCAGTTTCTCCATTTCTCCCTCTGCCTAGGTTGGCAGTGAAGACTGGATTTTTTTTTTTTTTTTTTTGGTTTTTCGAGACAGAGTTTCTCTGTGTAGCTTTGCGCCTTTCCTGGATCTCGCTGTAGACCAGGCTGGCCTCGAACTCACAGAGATCCACCTACCTCTGCCTCCCGAGTGCTGGGATTAAAGGCGTGCGCCACCACCACCCGGCAAGACTGGATTTTTAAACTATAAATCCCTTAGGATAGTACCAAGCCCACTGGCAGTGTTTAAAGAGAATGCCATAGTGTTATACTGGTTGGAACCACATTTCTGCCCATGTTTCCGTTTTCCCAATTAGAAAGGTAAGGAGTGGATCGTGGTGTGCTGACATTGGCTTTGTCAGCTATGGGAGCGACTGTGCACGTGTCTACAGCACCATGCTTACTGATAGCCCACTGACAGATAACTTGAAGTTGGCCATGGCAGGAATGTTAGTCCATGCCCAGTGTCTGAAGCTTAGAACACCTATGTTAACCTATGAAAGGGGAGTGACAGAATGGATCCTCAGAATGTTAAAGGAGTCTCTGTTTAAACTGGAGTAGAGACTGTACTCTCAAACCTCTATCCCCTCAGAGCCACACTGAACAAGTCTCAGAGTTCTGTGTGCCACCCTCGCCATGAAGCCATCTGCCTGTATCGGTGAACCCAGGCACTAACCAGACATAGTCATTGCCTGGTGACTCTCTTAGGGTCTGCCTCTCTAAGGATCTGAGGTGGAAAACTGTGGTGGGCTCTTCACCATGGCCAGATGATTTTCCTACAGAGTATTTCATGTCATTTCACTTACAGCGAATACACCCCTCAGTAAGTACCTGCTGTCCCCAGGGTCAAGTCCAAACTCTTTTCCGGAGTGAAAAGATTCACTGTAGAGACTCAATTCTGTCTGCCTCCTCTCATGATGCCCCTTTCCATCATATTCGTTTGCAAAATAGATACCTTCAGATGCTCTCGGACCTCCTGCCTGTGATTCCTTTTTGATGTGGAATGCTAGAAAGTTGTGGATGCTCAGCATGTATATAAAAAATGATCCAGGACCAGCGAGATGGCTCAGTGTGTAAATGTGCTTGCCATTAAGCTGGACAACCTGAGTTTAACTCCCAGATCCCACAGAATGGGAACGGACTTCTGCAAGCTATCCTTATCTCCACAAGTACCCCATGGCACCTGCACACCCCATTCCCCAAGTAAATAAATAAAATGTAAAAATAAATAGATGAAAAAATACTCAGAAGCTCGGGTATAGACCACGTTAGAATCTCCCCTCCTTTACCCTATCAAATCACTTTCTTTACCCTAATGCAGCCAATTAAAAATAGAAATAAAGGAGAGAAACAAAAACAGAAAGAAGAAGGAGGCAGCTATTTGCTGGACATACTTAACATGCATTAGCCATGAAAATATTCTCACAGGAATGAGCGCCCCCTGTTGGTGAAATGTCCCGAAGGCTAGGCAAAGGCAGGCATTAGTGTGTGTGTACACATCTGTGTGTGAGTGTGTTGGGGATGGGGGGGGCAACGTGAAAATGGCAGATCCCATTGACAGCTGTTTGTTCAGGCACTAAGTTCTCCGGGCGCCTGTACAAAATCTGAATTCAGCATCTCCCAGGGCAAAAATATACAGCCCCTCCCCAACCCAGAGCTAGTCTCAATGCAAGACCCTATTAGGAGTCATTTTGGGGGAACACAGTCTGGTCCCTAGAGACTTAGCTGAAAAAACCTTCGAAATACTTTTTCTAGCTTCAGAGCCAAAGGACTCAGTTGTCAGCTGCGGACAACGCAAGCCTCTTCCCCCTGCACGGCACTCAGGTTAGTTTCTTGGTCAGAACAGTGTCATCACACTGTTCTAGGTCTTCTCTGATGCTGTGGCAAACACCACAATTCAGGGAGAAAAGGGTGTATTGCAGCTTGCAACCTCCCAAGTAACTGTCCACCGTTGAAGGAAGTCAGGACAGGAACTCAAGGCTGGAACCTGGAAGCAGGAACTGAAGCGGAGGTCATGGAGGAGCGTTGCTCACTGGATTGCTCTCTCTGGCTTGTGCCCAGCCAGCTTTCTTATACGACTCAGCCCCACCTGCCTACAGATGGTGCTACCCACTGTGGGCTGTGCAATCCACATCCATCATCAGCCAAGACAATTCCCCACAGACATGGCCAATCCGATGGAGACAGTTCTTCAGTTAAGGTTTCTTCTTCATATGTCACATAAAGTTTGTGTCAAGTTGATAACAAAACCAGTACACACCCTATTGGTCATTCCTGAGGAATCTGAGAATAACATTTGCTTTGCAAATCATTTCAGAGCTCCTTACAAAAGTCACGAGAGAAGGATCTGTACTATGGATTTTACAGGAGCTGTAACTGTGAGCCCCCCCCCCTCGCAGGCAGCAATATACCACACTTAATCTAAACCCTCTTTTCTTTCTTTTTAAAGATTTGTTTTATTTTAAACTTCCCTGTCTCTGTCTCTGTCTCTGTCTCTGTCTCTCTCCCTCTCCCTCTCCCTCTCCCTCTCCCTCTCCCTCTCCCTCTCCCTCTCCCTCTCTCTCTCTCTCTCTCTCTCTCTCTCTCTCTCTCTCTCTCTCTCTCTCTCTCTGTGTATAGACACAAGCACAGGTTCCTACAGAGGCCAGAGGAGGGCATCTTATTCCCTGGAACTAGAGTTAGAGGCGATTGTGAGCCTCCCTATATGGGTACTGGGACCAACTTAGGTCTTCTGCAAGAACAATAGGAGCCCTTAAACCACTGACCCATCTCTCCAGCCCCTTTGCTCTTCGTTTCCATGTGGTGATGGGGGGGGACGCATGCATTTCATGGTATATATGTGGAGGTCAGAGGACAACCTCAGGTATTGGCTTTCACCTTCTACCTTGTTTGAGACAGGTAGCCCATGAACTGGCTCACGAGCATCTGAGGATTCTTTTTGCCTCCCTCTTCCTGTGAGGGTGTGGAGATCAGCCACTCTGTTGGGCTTTATGCTGATTCTGCAATCTGAAGTCAGGTTTTCAGGCCTGTGATAAAAATGCTTTACCCATTGAACAATCTCCCCAGCCCTATCTGTTTCCACGTCATGTTGTTGCTTTTCTTTTCAAACACAGAGCTGCGTGCATGCTAGGCAAGTGCTCTACCACTGAGTAATGTCCCCAGCACATTTGCTTGCTTGCTTGTTTGTTTATTAGGACATAGTTTCACTATGTAGCCCAGGCTGGTCATCCTGCCTCTGCCTCCTAAGCTGGCATTATAGGAGGGTGTATCACTACACCCAACTTACGCTTGTTACATCCTTTATGCTGTCTGTACATGTATACAATACTTCTTCAGGAAGAAGCACAATGGTGTTGCTGGGTGCTAGGGACTTCACTGAAAATGTTAAGGGATGCTGTCAAATGGTATCCAGCATGGGCTTCACCAGTTTATATCGCTACCACTGAAGGTAGAGCCATTCACAATATTTTTACAAACTTGGGTGTAAGCAATGTTAACTTTTACTAGCTCTTTTATACTTGGGCACCTCATCTTACATTCCCACCTCAGTTATAATTATAGCAAAAATAAAATCTTTTATACTGGGAGTGGCTTATTAAATGTCCTTGACCTGCCTTGTTGGTCATTTATTTTAATTTGGGGAAGAGTTTTATATGCTATAACCTTTCATTACATAAGCCACAAGTGTGCTCTCCCATAGTACTGCTTTTCATGAAAATTATGTTTACATTATCTTTTTCCCATGCAACCTTCAAATTTTGATGGTTAATTTGATGAAGTCAAATGTATTAATCTTTTCCTTATGGTCTTTGTACTTTATATAAGAAATCCAGTGCTAGGGAGATGGCTTAATAGTTGAGTGCATACTGCTGTTGCAGAGTGTAAGTATTACAGCTCTGAGGGGAAAGGCTTCCCCAATGGATGTTACAGCTCTGAGGGGAAAGGCTTCCCCAATGGAGGTGTCGCAGCTCTGAGAGGGAAGGTTTCCCCCGAGCAAGTGTTACAGTTCTGAAGGAAAAGGTATTCTAACAACCGAGAGCCAAGGAATACCACAAACTTACAACAAACCTCACACAAGAGATTTTTTGGGAAGGAAAAACCCAGGAGGGTGACTGCCTCTGCTTGAGGGAGAAGCGGCAGAGAAGCAAGCAGAAAACAGGGTTTATATAGGGTTTCTTAAGGGGGGGAGCCTTCCAGGGTGGGAATTGGTGGAATTTCAAGTCCTGAGTTTAGGGCTAATCCAGGGATTGGTGGGATGTCAAGTCCTGAGCTTGGGGCTAATCCAGGGATTGGTGGGATTTCAAGTCCTGAGCTTGGGGCTAATCCAGGGATTGGTGGGATGTCAAGCTCAGGGACTGGATTTTCAAGTCCTGAGCTTGGGCTTTGTACTCTATACGTCAGAGCCTAGCCGCCTGCATCTGGAGGAGCTAGGTCTAGACATTACTGCCTTTAGAGTGTTCTGTGGGCAGAGCCTGGCAGTCGGAGGTCCTCAGGAGCAGGACCTGGCCACGCATGCACCTTGAGGGGCTTATACAGTGGATAAGTTCCCAGCAACTACATCAGGCAGGTCACAACTGCCCATAACTCCATCTCCAGGGGATATGACACCTTCTTCCAGCCTCTGAGGGCACTCCCACACAGGCACACACAGATATTCATAGTTAAGACTTTAAAAGAAAGTCGTGGGTTTTTTTGTTTGTTTGTTTGTTTGTTTGTTTTTCGAATCAGGGTTTCTCTGTAGCTTTGGAGCCTGTCCTGGACTAGCTCTGTAGACCAGGCTGGCCTCGAACTCACAGAGATCCGCCTGCCTCTGCCTCCCGAGTGCTGGGATTAAAGGCGTGCGCCACCACCGCCTGACTTAAAAGAAAGTCTTATGTATTAGAAGCTATCCACTACCACGTGTCTTTCTTTTCTTTCTATTTCTTTTTCTTTTTTCTTTTCTTTCTTTCTTTCTTTTTTTTTTTTTTTAAAGACAAGGTCTCCAACTGTATCCCTAGATGTCCTGGGACTCACTTTGTAGATCACAGAGATCCACCTGGTTCTGCCTCCTGAGTGCTGGGATTAAAGGCGAGTGCCAACATCATTTGGCTTCTTTCTATTTCTTAGCTGTTTTGTTTGGAGGTAGGGACTCATTTAGATCAGGCTGGCCTCAGACTCCCTGTGTAGTTGAGGGTGGCTTTGAACACCTTGAACCTCCTGCCTTCACCTCCCAAATGCTGGAATTACAACCATATAGTATCATTCCTGGATGCTATGTCTACTTGCAACATTTCGTATTTATTTACTTAGCTCTTCAGTCTAGAATTTATTTCTATGACTGGCATATTGGTGTATGCTATTGGTTTTTGTTTTCTGCTGTAGCTGCTTGCTCTTTACCAAGGCTTCTACAGGCTAGGCTACTTCTGGTACTTAAAGACTCCGCAGGTGGTGACGGCAGGAGTGGGCAGCAATTCGATGTCTGAGAACTGGATTATTTTACCATTGTTCCCCAAACTGGGTGGCTTGAGCAGCAGCCCTCACAGTTCTGGAGGCTGGAAGTCTGAGATCCGGTGTTGGCAGCGCCAAGTTCCCTGTGAGGAGTGGGGAGAGCATCTGGTCCAAGGCTCTGCTGGCTTCTGAGAACTCCTTGGTGTGTGTCAGCACAATGAATGTGTTCACATAGATGTTTCCCAGGTATGTCTCAATAAGGACATTGGCCATATTGAATTAGGAGGCCACCATCTTTTCCCTATGGTCTTTGATAGCTGCAATAATGTGTTTCTAAATAAGGTCACGTTCTGAGTGACCGGGCATTAGGATTTCAGTGTGTGGATTTCTGCTGGGTAATTCAACTCCTATCAAGCTCCTCGCAGACTGGGACAAAGTAGTATCCAGGGGATTGCTTCCACTTTCTGCTTCCTGCTCCTGCCCAGGTCGTGGGAGGAATCCCACCTGCACTGTTTCGGTGCATTAAGCCTTCCAACGAGAAAAAGTTGATCATTTGGTAGCTGAGTGCCCAACCTTTTGGAGCCTTCCCACTGATGGGTGGGTCACATGCAGCTGTGTTCACAGCAGCGGCTCTCCCTGGTCTCCCTGATCCCTGTCCTTCTGCAGAGACACCCTCAGACTCACTGCATCCTGCTTGCTCCAGCCTCTTGTCCATGGCTAACAGAGAGAGGGCACGCTGGGCACACTACACATCCGGCCACACTCGGCATTCCTGTCAGGGACACCTGAGTCAGAGGTTGGTATTCAGGGTCTGAGCTGGTAGAGTGACACACAGATTATAATTCCAAAGTCATAAGTGATCAATGCTCACTGAAAACACCAGGGCTTGGGGTGTAACTCAGTGATAGAGCTTATGCTCACATGTGAGAGTCCTTGGGTTTAATCCCCCACACACACACTAAAAGGAAAAAAAAAAGATTAGTGCCACAATGAGAAGCCATCAAGAAGAAATGCTTTCAAAACAAAGGTAACTTTATTGTATAAATTTTACACTGTAAAAGAATATGAAATGAAGCTTTGTCTAAATTCTCTTGCTGATTCTCTTGTAGACAAGGTCGCCCAGTGTCATGGTCTGAAAGTCAGAAGAGAGATTATGAAATATTTTCTTGATGCTAAATTGTAAAACAAACAAAAAATGATCTCCCCAAATGATCCCAAATGTGCTAACATGTGAAGCACCTTTAAAAATTTTCATTTTTTTTTTTTATGGGCAGAGGAATGATGGGCAACTTTTTCTAAAACACCATGCTGTGTCTTGTCACTTCTCTTGTTCATGTGGAGGGCTGTCCTGCCAGGAATTGAATTATTTCCTAAATCAATGACAGCTATAGAAAAACCATCCAGAGCAGTCCAACCTGTTGTCTCAAAATCTCATTGAGATCTATTACTGCCCATTGACTGTCTGTGGCTGAACACAAGATATATACATGAATTCACTGGGCAACTAGAATGGAACGTAGTAGGAGCTTTATAATTTTCCTCTTAAACTTGTGAATGAAGCACATGAGAATACTGGCCATGGGTTTGTATGCAGGATGCTTACTGAGCATGCTCAAAGTCTCAGCATAGCAAGAAAAACAAAACACATCAGTTTTAGGGTTGTTGGTGAATGGTCCTTCCAGCCCTCTCGGGTCTCTGATTTTGTGTCTTATGTTATCAAGTGCAAAAGGAGCTCCTTAGCTCCGGCAATCACCCCCTGGGTTGGAGCCCTGGTTTTATCACATCAGCTACATGGTCTTGGAAAGATTGGCCTGATTATGAAATCCATTGTCTGTGATTCCCATAGGAGACAGGAAGACTAGGGAAATGCATCTGGACTCAGTCCAGGGTGGCTCCTCTCTGCTCACCTGCTCTGTTGTGAGAGTGAGGGGCAAGAATGGGGACTGAACATTGCTTCATGATTGACGCCTCTCTCTCTCCACGGTTGGGAGAGGTTTTCACTTGGCCAGATGATGTCACTTGGACAGGTGTCTGTCTTCTGTGACCCCCTAAAGTGCATTCTGGATACAAAGGAGAGCTGGAAGACCTGACCTTAGGAGGAACACTACCAATTATCATGTAGGCTGTGGACAGGATGTTACCAACAGCTAGGCATGGAGGATGATTGCATAGGAGTGCACACCCAGGGTGTCATTGATTAGCGGCCATGAACTTGGTACAAGGGTGACTTCACGCCAATGCCAAGTGGGCAGAGGTATTTACTGGGCACCTGAGCTGTGGAAGATGGCAGCCTCTGTGGCTTGTTGGTTAGTGCTGAGACAGAAGGAAAGGCTGTGGCTGTTAATCATCATCAAATAGGAACAGCAACGAGAGAGCCTAGCTTTGTGTAGGTCTTACACTGATGGGAAGTACACCTGCAGGAGGCATGGAGGCCTCCTGGGTAGGAGATCTGCAGATGGAGTGGAGTCTGGGGACATCCCTGGGTTGAATGGACTTCGATCCTACAGGGAGATTTGTGGTCCCACCCCAGCAGAGACAGGAAAAGGCAAGTTGTGTTCTGCACATCCTGTCCTGTGTCTCAGCACACCAAGCACCTCTCACTTCATCCCCTTTAGGTGCTGTTGGGATCGGGGAAGAGGCAGGAAGTGGGCAAGGAGGAGAGGCTGAGGGGGTGGGAGTGACTGACTCTGGAAGTGGAAGGGCAGCCTGGAGGTGGGAGTCACCAGGTGACTTAGAAAAGGTGCCCCTTCCTCAAGACACTGCTCTTCTGTCTGTCAGAACATCACCCTGATGTTCAGCCCTGGTTTGGTCTGACCAAGATGGCTGCAGATGTACTGAGTGCAAATCCCCACTGTCTACAGTGTGAACAGCTTCCCCTAGGGCTTGAGTGGTGAACAACTGTGAGATTAGCTCAAGAGATGGACCCAGTTCTGGGGTCCTGACCCGCCGTTTGACCAGCTCTTTTGGTCATAGCCTTACTTTCCCCACTTAGAAAATTGGTGTTCAAAAGATTCGAGACAACATGTATCAACTACATGGCACATAATGGATCCCCTTAAGTGGTAGAAGACACTGATTAAAGTCAAGATCTCGGGGAGGAAAAGATGGAGAATGTGAGATGTCGTACAACTGCCCCTCACCCTTTGCATCTCCATTCCCCACAAGCTGTGGGATGGCAAGACCAGAGTGCCGACTTACGTTGGTGATTGTGTCGCCATTGAGTTCGGTCACGGACTTCATGCCCTTGAAACTTGTCACCATCTTATTGTCACCTTCCATAGTAACCACGGCCTGCAGGGAGGAGAGGTCATGACCCATGGGCAAAGGCCTGGCAGTGACGCTAATGAGGTCGCTTCCCCGCATGGTGACCACTGGCAATGAGTCAATGTCCTGTTCGTCTCTAGTTCTCTAGCGCTGAATGGAAATTGGATGTACTTATGAATGAAAGAGAATATCAAGCCTGCCTAAGTGCTTCTCCCCTGGGAAGAAAAAAAATCCTAAAATAAAATATAAAATCCTATTTCTCAAGCTTATAGAGGGAGGTGGTGGCAGAACTCCAATCACCAGCCGCCATGGGGACACAGTTTGCTGTGGTAGATATTTAGTCTTTCCTATGTGGCGCCAATTTCAAGCCTTGTATATACACCAAGGACGGTGGTAGATTGAAGTGGCTGGGCACAGTGCGGCACTTTTAATTCCAGTGCTCAGGAGGCAGGAGCAGGAAGAGCCTGAGTTTGAGGCCAGTCTGGGCTACATGGCAAGATGCTGGGGGAGGGAGGAGAATAAGAAGAAAGGAAGCAAGGGAGGGATGGAGGGAACCAAGGGAGGGTGGAGAAAGAAGTATAGTCAGCAACAAAAGACACAAGGTCAAATATCCGCCTCCGCAATGGGCCACTGGAAAACCCATGGCACCCCACCCAATCCCCCTCTGCTCTTTACCTTGACATGTAAGAAAAGGAGAAACAAGAGCAACCTGAAGAGGCAGCTACTCCTGCTGAGCCTGAGGCACAAAGCTGCCAGGAAAGGCAGGAGTGGAGAGAACAGAGGCACAGTCCACTGGCTTCCCTGGGATGTGCAGGCTTCCTGGGGAGGGGCAGATGACAGGACCCACAGCACCTGGATCTCTGTTATCACCTGTCCATCGCTCACACAGCCCACGGGCAGCTGGCATTGCCACCTGGAACCGTTGCCCCGAGGAGGGGAAGGTGCCCTGGCTCAGGTAAAGGATTTCACTGACACCGATTTGCCCCAGTTCCGGGTTTTCCTTGGAGGACTCCAAGAAGCTGGAGCACTATGACTGAGGATCCTGCTCTGTGCCCCATTTCCCCCACATTGTCTACCGAGAGAGCCCAGATGTCTCATGATCCCTGAGACAATGAGAAGTCTGTTCTCAGAGTTCTCTGTGTCTCCTGCCTGAAGTGGGTTTAGTGACATGGTCTCTGTTAGGAGAACTTTGGGGCAACAGGAGGTGGGACTACATACCTTGACCTTTTCCCCATTCATGGTCTCCAGCTCGCACTCCTCCCCCAAGGTGAACTCATTGTGGAGCACTTTGGGCCCATAGGTGATGGTGAGTTTGACATGCTTCCCGTTATGCACGATTTCTGATACCCCCTTGATGTCCTTCCCCTTCTGGATGAGATCATCAGGCAGTCCTGGAAGAGGCCATGTAAAGTTAGAGTCCGGAGGAGCAGTGGAGATCACTGTACATTCCTGAGGCTCCACACACTTCTATATAGCAGACCTGTGAGCAGTTGGGCCTTTGGTTTCTGACCAAGTCAGTGGCCTGCTACTATTTTCCCAATTAGTATTATCAGTTTTTGAGGCAGAGTCACTTGGAGCCTAGGCTAGCCTTAATTCACTATATAGTTGAGGGTGACCTTGAGCATCTGACCCTCCTGCTTGCACCTCCCTAGTGCTGGGATCACAGTTGTGTGTCACCACACCGGGCTTCGATGGTCTGGGGATTGAACCCAGGGCTCCCTGAATTGCGAGGCAAGCACTCTATCCACTGATCTGCATTCCCAGCCCCATCAATTCACTTGTGATAAAGAAACTCATTTGGCCTGAGGCCCTTTCCTTTGTGTCTCTCTGCTTTTTACTCACTCTCCCTCCCAATTTCCCCCTTGTTTAGTGGCCTTGTTCTTAGAGTGGGGACACTTAATCCTCCAGGATGTTTATCTTCCGACTCAAATGGTCCCACACACAAGTGTGACCGTGCCAGGCACACTTGCTGTGGCCTCTGGAGTCAAGGCTCTTGTGGGTAATGTCCAGAAGTCCTTTGCCCTAGAATAGGGCTTTGCCGATGTCAGAGCAAATCTGTGCCTTTACATGAATAGAGGGTCACAGGAATCATGAATTCCCAGCAAGAGCAGAGAGCCCTTTGTACGGCCAAGGGGTCCTCGAATTCTCAAGCTGTGACTTGTCCACACAAGAACCTTTGAGTCCCGGGATGACCTGAGTGTCCTCCTTTCCCTGCTCTTGCTGTTTCCCATCTTTTCCCTGTTGTCACCCTCCTTTGTCCCACCTCGCCCTCTGCCCACAGGGCTCTCTCTTCCCGGAACACACTCTTCTCTCCCTGGTCCCAGGCTCAGCCTTCAGCACTAGTCTTTCCTCCTATACCCCGAGAGACGTAGGCCATTTAACTAGAGTCTCTGGGACCCAGCACCTGCTTCTGACTCCAACTCCAATATTTCTGATACAGTAGCCCTTGTTGTGGCTACTTCTCCTTTCTTGGCCTCAGCTGTCTCAAGAGTGATCAACTCAGCTTTATGGTGACTATTGAATGTGGGCATTGCAACACCTGGTATAAAGTCATCCACATTAAGGGACACGTCACTGCATTTATCTCCGAATAACTGGTCAGTATTGTAGCTTTGTCTCCAAACGTTGGTCAGGGTTGCAGCTTATCACACTCTATCTCCCTGGCATATGTACAAGCAGAGTGCTTGAGGTATGGTTGGTCTTGAACCAATGACTGCTAGAAAAATGAATGAATGGATGAGTGGATGAACAAGGTCATGATGAAGTACCAGTGGACACACGTCAATCCAGCTCAGGGTCATTTCCACTGTTCCTGGTGGTCTTGTCCAGTGAGGGACAGTGTAAGTAGCAAGAGACCAGGAGAGTCACTAAAACACTCCTAAATTAGGGATAGCCTGAACCCTTCCTTCTACCTCAGCATCAGACCTTGATTAGCTGCTGAGTGTAGGGCTAGCCCCTCATTGCTGTTACATCAGCTTTGGCGTCCCACCCAGCACTCACCCATTGCCTTCATGAAGGGCTCAAAGTTCTCTTGGCTCTGCAGTTGGTACTTGCCGGTGAAGTTCATGGTGGCGATGAGGCTCCCTTTCCACAGCTGACCACAGCAGCTCTGCCTGCCAGGCCACCCCCTCTTGGCTATTTTATAAGGGGCTTCTTCCTCCTCAGATATAGGCCATAGGTCAGTGCTTGTCGATTTCTTTATGGCCAGGTTCAAACATTAACTCCTGAGAGCAATGGTCAACGATAAAAATCAGAATGGGCAAGGCAGAGGTTTGTTCTAATTCAGCAAACATTAGTGAGTGCCAATCAAGTACAAAGCTCTCTGTGATGCTGCCTTTATGGTGACTTACCACCGCTAATGAAGTAAGTGTGTGTGCATGAAATGTATGCGCACAGATGTATATGTGCAACAGACATATGTGAATCATGTCTCTAACAACGGACACATACAGTATGCATAGGTGTACATATGTATGTGTTTGTACACTTGTATGTATGCATGTATTTATATACATGTAGCTACAGATGCACACGCGCGCACACACACACACACACACATATATATATACATATATAAACACATTCATGTATATGGGTGTTATGTGGGGAGAAATACCTTTGAACTCAAAACCTTTTTCATATAACCTTATGTTTGTTTCTCAACCTTTCATTATCATACAGACATCATTTTACATACATGTCATCAGTTCCTAGAGCTGCTTTGTATTCTGAGAGTTCTTCCTCGGTGATTCCGGGCAGTCTCACAGTCCAGGCAGGCCTCCCTGTTGAAGTGCCAACAGGGCTCCACTGTCAGCAGGTGTAAGTCCCTTACAGCAGCGGTGTAGACATGTAGATGCGTTTTGTTGGACAGACAAGTCAAGGGAAGGAGAAGGCACTGTCTGCTGACTTGCCCCACTCCTGCTCAAGGCAGGAACAGGGAGCTGAGGTGATACATGGGAGTTTGGTCTTCCTGGAACTGGCCTTGGGCAGAAGGTGGAGGGATGCTCCATCCCCTGGGAAGATGAGGATCTTTATCCCCCCCCAGATCTTGTGTTTGAGGCAGTTCTCAGCAAGTGATGCTTCACACCCCGGGTCTCTCCTCGGTCTAGACTTTAGCATCAGGCTCTGCACCCACAGCTTTCAGCTCTCTGCCTTGAGGCTACACAGACTGTTGTGAATCAGAACCTGGGGTGAGCCATGCCTCAGTTTTAAACCTCTCATGGTCTCTAGTGCTCCAGCAGTCACAGGTCCTGGATGAGGTGGAAGGTCCCTGTGTCTGCTGTCTTGGCTGCGACAACTGCTCTCAACAGAGCTTGTACTCTGCTATCATGAGCTCTCACTTCTGTCTTGGAAAGTGACTGTCATTGTCTAGACTTCTAGTGTGGCTGCTAGGCTCGCAGAAGCCAGCTTTAGTCAAACCCCTTTCTCTGGAGGTCGCAGTCACAGGGCCAGTCAAAGGTGTCAGGGGTGTCCACTCTGTGGGGATTTGTGTCTCTTCTTCTGCTCTTTCCCCCTTCTCCCAGCTACGGGGAGCACTTTATAACACCCCCACCCATCCTCCTCCTCCATTCAGCTGGGCTGACCCTCCACATCCTTCTCCACTGTGCTCCTTCCTCAGTATTCCCAATGTCTGGCACGTGGGATGAGTTCAATCAGTGATGGTTCAGCAAAGAGAAAAAGCATCAAAAGATAACGAGGCTGTGGCTCTTGTGGTTAAGAGGTAATGAGAGATATGGAGCAGTCAGATCAGCAAACCAGTCCTGTAATCAGTGAATCATACGAGTCCAGAAGCAAGGAGACCGGAGGGCAAGTGTGCCTGTGCGCACGCGCATGGGCGTGTGTGTCCTTCACGCGGCTGCTGCTGCCTGAGAGCCAGTGGAGAAAGCTGTGGAAGGGATGGAAATTGTTGCCCCAGCCTGACAGCCCGCTCCTCTCTTCCCACCCTTGGTGTTTTTGTTTGTGTGTTTGTTTGTTTTCCTGTCACCCTGCTCTGTCATCCCAGCCTGTGCTGAGCCCACGGTGGGATGTTTTACATAGAGTCCTTTCTGTTCCTGGACCGTTTCCTCCGACTTGCATCATAACCACCAAAAAGATCAAATGCTTACCCAGCCCATCTGCCCAGCAGCTCTCTACTCCACCCAGAAACTCCCTGGGTTGCAGTGTCTACCTCTAGGCCACGAGGCTCTGGTCCGGCAGATCTGCGGTGGGGATGGGAGGGAGGAATTTGGACGGATGAGAGCTCATGCCAGGGGCACCAATGCCCCAGGGAGACAGCTTAGGGCCAACAACCCTGCCAGTTTACAGTAGGGGTATATCTATCACCTCAATACCCACACACAGACTCCCCAGAACCTCTGGAGTTTGCAGCTTCTGGTCCAGCCAAGCCTTTAAGAAGTCCTTGAATCTATACACCATATATATGCCCGATGCCTGTGCCTTTCTCACTCATCCCTGATAGGTGGTGTTTATATGCACTTGTTATGGGAGAGGCTCTTCTCTTTGGCATGATGGGAGCAGGCGCATTAGTTGAGGGTAGCATCACACAGATTCTGGCCCCAGCACAGAGAGGCGCTCCACTCTGCCTCCCCTGCTTAGCCCTCCTCTAATAGTGTTAAGGACATGAAGTGCATCATGATCCACACGTTGAAATAATCCACGGGAGAAAGATACAGACAAGCACACAGATTAAGCCAATTAAGATTCTATGAGTCGTGAGGGTATCTTTGTGGATTTCTGTGGGCCTCTCTAGCACTTTGCTTCTTCCTATTCTCATGTGGTCTTCATTTACCATGGTCTCCTATTCCTTGTTCTCCCTCTCTGTTGTTGATCCAGCTGGGATCTCCCGCTCCCCCAAGCTCTCTTTCCCTTGGCCCTCGCCCTTCACTACTCCCACTCATGCCTAGGCTGTTCATGTAGATCTCTTCCATTTCTCTGTCATTGGGTGATCCCCGTGTCTTTCTTGGGGTCCTGTTTTCCAGGTAGCCTCCCTGGTGATGTGAGTAGCAGTCCAGTCATCCTTGTTCTACATCTAGTATCCTGCTATGAGTGAGTACATACCATGTTTGTCTTTCTGAGTTTGGGTTACCTCACTCAGGATGATTTTTTCTAGATCCATCCATTTGTCTGCAAACCTCATGATGTCATTGTTTTTCTCTGCTGAGTAGTATTCCATTGTGTATATGTACCACATTTTGTTTATCCATTCTTCAGTTGAAGGGCATGTAGGTTGTTTCCATGTTCTGGCTATGACAAACAATGCTGATAGGAACATAGCTGAACGAGTGCTCTTGTGGTGTGGTTGAGGATTCCTTGGGTATATGCCCAAGAGTGGTATAGCTGGATCTTGGGGCAATGGTCGAGATACAGCCCGAACTGACCTACTCTGGTGATGGGATGGCCAAACACCCTAATTGTCATGCTAGAAACCTCATCCAACTACTGAGGGATCTGGATGCAGAGATCCATGGCTAGGCCCTGGGTGGAGCTCTGGGAGTCCAATTAGGGAGAATGAGGAGGGTTTATATGAGCGAGAATTGTTGAGACCAAGGTTGGATAAAGCACAGGGACAAATAGCCAAACGAATGGAAACACATGAACTATGAACCAATGGCTGAGGGGTCACCAACTGGATCAGGCCCTCTGAATGGGTGAGACAGTTGATTGGCTTGTTCTGTTTGGGAGGGATCCAGGCAGTGGGACCAGGTCCTGTGCTCATTGTATGAGATGGCTGTTTGAAACCTGGGGCCTATGCAGGGTCGCTTGGCTCAGTCTGGGAGGAGGGGTCTGGACCTGCCTGGACTGAGTCTACCAGGTTGATCTCAGTCCTGGAGGAGATGGGAATGAGGGGCGGGCTGGGGGGAAGGTGAGAGGGGCGGGAGGGGGGGAGAACAAGGGAATTCATGGCTGATATGTAGAACTGAATTGTATTGCAAAATAAAAAAAAAAAAGAATCCAATGGCTATGTTATGTGAAATGTCTGTAAAACAAAAGAAACCACTCTGGATGTCTAGTATTCCCTTCTTTAGATATATTGTATGGGAACATCATCATTAAATAATAAAAAAATCTAAAAGTCTAACAACAAAAAAAAAGATTCTATGAGTCCTTTAATTTGAGTTGGCAACCAAGAGTGAGCCAACATCTCAGAGTATCTTGGTACCGAAGCTCAGGGGGACAGCATTTTAAAAAGTAAAACTCACAAAAATCCTAATTTGTATCAAAGCTAAGTGAGGGTAAGACTAACCTTGAAACATTTATTTCCGGCAGAACATAGTAGTTGTTTCAAACATAAACAGCGATTATTTTTTACTTATATCTTTCTTCTGTTAGTTTAGTATATATTGTGTTTGTATAAACTTAATACATCTGGACCACGGCCAGGGTCATGGACTCTCATACGTGTTGCCAAGGCGGATGTGACTATTGTGAGATAGAAGGCTGATAGCTGTCTAAGTAAACACAAAATGGGGAGTCAGGACAAGATGGCGTTACCTTGGTCACTCCAACATCAAATTTGAGCTGTCCCTGAGCATTCTTGCGTGTTGAGAATTTATGTCCATTTGTAGTTACCTAACCCCTTGAGTGTAAGGCAGGAACACGCAATGTGGCTCAAAGGATGATCAGAACATGAAGGTGTCTTCCTGCTCGGAGCCTGGAATGTGTATCTTTTAATGTGACTTAAACTATGAAGGGGACAGTCTAGACACTGATCTCCAAGTGGGGCACTGAATTTTTGTATTTACATATATAGTGAATTTAAAGGTATATTCTATTAAGAGGTTGCATTGGAATTTTCTTGAGGGATCTTCCCCCACCTCTGCATATGTGTGTGTGTGCGTGTGTGCTTGTGCGTGTGTGTGCGTGTGTGTGTGTGTGCGCGCGCGCGCGCGCACAAACGACTAGAAGAATTACTTGGAGAAAGGTTGTTTCAAACTCCAACCTGGGCAGCAAGTGCCAGGATGGAGGAAGCAGCCACTCTTGTGCAGAAGCCTAGAAAAGGCCAGGAGGGAGGCAGGGGGGCCAGTGAGGCTGTGGGCACTGCTCTAGGGGCCGCCGAGCCTGCTGCCCTCTTGCTCAATAGGCTAGATTCACACAAACAAGTGAATGAACACAAAAAAGAGGAACCAGTGAGAGTTTAGAGAACAGGCCACTAAGGCACCTCCAGTGAACAAAGCAGGGATTCTAAGAAGACCAGTGTCGACCTGGAGCCTAGTTGTTTACTCTGAAGTGAATACTTCCTTTGTTTTCAAGCCCTCTCCTCCTGTCTCAAAAGCCTCTGTAGACGTAGTTGTTGGCCTGGGGATATGGCTCAGAATGCTTGTCTAGCATGCACAGGGCCCTGGGTTCCATCCACATACCATATAAAGTGGATGTGGTAATGCATGCCCATAAGGAAGTAGAGGCAGAAGGGTAAGAAGTTCAAGGTCGTCCTTGGCTATATAAAGTCCGACTGGGCTATATGAAACTCATTTGTGCCCAAGTGGGAAATGATCAGGGACTTAGTTTTGTTTCTGGATTGATGCCATGGAGCCGAGGAAGCTCGTGTAGAAGCAGTTCCAGGAACAGAACATCCATGGGGATCCCCTCCCGCAGAAAACCCCAAAAATCTAAGAGAGGACCTTAGGAGGTTCAGGCTCATTTAATCTGAGTCACAGGCAGCCTATGCCTGTCTGATGACCATGAGGGGTGGTGCCCTGTGATGCAGCTATGACCATACCTGAACTCACTTCATCTGTCATAGAGAGCCACTGCCACAGGGGTGTGGGGTCAATGAAGGCCGGGACTTGGTGTTTTGGTGTGCCGTGATGGCTACACAAACCCGAAAAGGCTGGATTTGAGGGCTCACTGCAGAATGTAGGGGCAGCATGCCAGAATGAAGTTGGGAATTTGAGTGGTGGCTCATTAGCAGCTAAATGCTGGAGCCAGCAGCCATGGCCTTCCACGGGTCCATCTGGTCCCCTAGCTTAAGAACTGGGTACAGTTTGAGTTGGCGGCGGCAGTTCAGGCAAGGAGAAGTTCTCTGTCCTCAGAGGATGATCAGTTTTAAGGCTTGGCAGCTACCGTCGATTCAGGTTCTGAAGACTTCCACACTTTGTTGCAGGAATACCACCTTATGTACGACGCTGTCCTCAGCAGCTGGATGTATCAGACAACTTCCTTCCAGGACAGGCACGTGTGCTGTCACTAACCTGCCCAATAGGAGCTCCTGCCCCTCACTCAGCCCTCTTCACCTAGCACCTGTCCAAAGAGCTAGTGCAACATGATGGGGTAGTAGCCTAGTGTGCACATGGTCCCTATCATACAAGCTAAAAAGATGGAAATAGAAGGAAGGAGGGGAAGGGGGCAGAAGGAGGGAGGGGAGCCTCGGAGCTTTGCAGTCTAACACCAATCAAACGTTTACTCACCAAGGGAGTAATGGCAGAGCCACCCCCACCCAGCCCACCCATCAGCTTCTTACTTTGGGAGGATCTGTGGCAGTGCCCTCTATATATCACGCTCTCCCATGCACCCTGCTGCCTGTGGGATGTCACACTCATATAAAAGCAGTATCTGACACAAAAATCTCACACCTGGGTCTTCTTCCCTTGACCATAGACACCAAGCTGCAGCTTTCTGGAGCCTAAGGTGGTCATAGGATGGAAAGCATGAGCTTTCTTCCATAGGACAAGTCAACACTAATCCCAGAGGCCTCTGGGAAGGCCCGAGTCTTGAGGAATCTGAGGAAGAGCAGGACATGTGAGCAAATTTCTATTGGAACCTCTGATTCAATTTCTATTGGCCTCCCACTTCCTGCCTACCCATCTAGGCAATGCCAGCAAATGGTGACCAATTTTGAGGACATGAGGCTGGTCCAGGGCCTGGCCTGACAGGAAAAGATGCAACAGACTCCCTGACAGACGGACAGCCTAATCGGAAGAAAAGCAAGTAAAGTAGGCTGGGAGATTCAAGACAGGATGCACTCCCCACAGATCTCAGGCATGGCCATTTGTAGAGAACCCCAACAGCTTTCTTAGGTCAAGATCTTGGGTGAGGGGGATGTGTGAGTCTTGAGGCCACAGAGATTAGTAGCTATTTCAAAAAGCGATACCGTGTGGACATGGTGGCTCACACCTATAACCCCAGCACCTGGGAGGCTGATGCAAGAGGATTTCCTTGCGTATGAAACCAACCTGGACTACAGTGTAAAAACCTTGTCTCAAAAAACAGACAACAACAACAACAAGCCCTTCAAAAACCAAAAACCAAAAACCCACAAAACAACAACAAATCCACCAAAATCGGGGCTGGAGAGGTGGCTCAACCGTTAAAAGCGTTTGCTGCTCTTCCAGAGGACCTGAGTTCAGTTTCGAGGACCTGAGTTCAGTTTCCAGCACCCATGTGGGGTGGCTCACAACCACCTGTAACTCCAGCTCCAGGGGATCTGATGGCCTCTTCTTGCCTCTGTGGCCGCTTGCACACACGTGGTATTCACTTGCAAACAGACACACACACAGTAAAAATGAATAATGGTGATAAACAATGTAAAGTACCAGTTGTGCACATTTTTACATAAAAATTAGGTGAGCGCAATGACATATTCCACCTCCTCCCTGATCAAATATGAGAGGAGACAAAACTCCACTACAATGACAAAGTTCAAGTGACAGGAAAATATTCAAATTAAAAAACAAGCAAACAAACCAAAAACAACTCTAATACCACGGGCGCAGCTTTGGAGTTTGGTCAGCTCAAAGACTGTCTCCTCTTCCGGTCCCAGTAGCCACGTCTCTCCTCACATGGCCTCGTCAGACGGACAACATGCAGCCTGTGGAGAGGAAGGAAGGGGCACACTCTCAGACATTCTCGTAGCGGCAGGCACTTCTGCACTTGTATGTGACCCCAGAGTGCCTGCAGTGCCCGTGTGCCCATTCCCTGCACTTGGGACACAAGTGGTGTCTGAGGAGTCCATGCTTCCCCCAGACCTGGGCTGTACGAGGAAAGAGCCTGGGTTAAGGTACTGCCCTTCTTATGGCCACAATACCACCCTTGAGCCTCATCGGGCCTCTGCCCTCCTTACCTGTTAAATGGTCAGAATATTCTTAGCTCTGTGAAAACTGTCTTGTGCTTTGGGAATGCAAAGCTTCAATCACAAGAGGTCAAGACACTTGGCCTTTGCACCTGCCAGTTTCCTGGTGGGGGTCACTGGTCTGGGACCCAGTTGTAGTTTATCTCCTGGCTTGAGGGACCTTGCTTCCCATCGCCCTGGGCTACTGGGTAGTGTCTCCAATCCCAGGTTTGTTGATAGTTCAGTTGGATCTTTTGCAGGCCTGAGCCCTAGTCTTTTGCCTACAGGGCACGTGGACCCAAGCTGCTGGCCACTTGAGTCCATGTCCAGGTCTGGCAACCAGTCCAAATGACCTGATCTCATTGTTTTTCACTGAAGCTTTTAGTTCCCTTAGAGTTCCTAGAACCTGGGGTGGGGACAGGTTCCTGTTAAGGCTCAATCCCCCACTCTCCAGCCAGGCTTGGGGGAAAAGGGGTACGTTCCTTAAAGAACTTCCCAGCAGTTTTGCTCTGTGATGGAGTGTTTGCCTAGCATGCACAATGCCCTGGGTTCACTTCCCAGTTGCCCTGTGGCAACTGC